ACAAACACATGTATTTGTACAATGCAGTCACGGTCACACAGTCCTCGGCCGCTATTTCCAGTTTGAAAAGTGCCCCCCCGCCCCCCGGCTTCCGCTACGTAGCAAAGATGGTGACCATTGAGGGTGAGAAGTGTCCATAGTTCCGCACAACTTTTTGACCGTTTTGAGTGCACCATCCAGGTACTCATAGCACACTGCATTTTTCCATACTTCTCAGTGTGAATGCACTTATGCACTCAAAATAGTAAGTGTAAGTACAGAAGTACGCGATTTGAGACACAGCATAAGATTTTGACCATTGTAAACACTTGCTAAACATCTGCACATTAGCGCTTGTCAGCATCTTAGCATGCTGATGTTAGTATTTAGCTCAAAGCACTGCTGTACCCACTCAAAAAACTGAAACACTGACTTTAATTAAATTTATTTTGTCAACAGATTCCAACACTAAAAGCTTAAGAACAGAAAAAATTATATATGAAAATATTCTAAAGAGGAAAATAATTATATGACTTTGGACAACCTAGTTGATGTCATTGTTTAAAAAAATAGGTCAGCAAATGTGACCTATCAAAATTAAATTATTACACTAGAGACCATCTTGGGATTGGATCACACTAGCCATGATACAGCCATCCGCTATTTAAAACAAATGTTGGCCAGGGGCATGAATTGTGGCTCAATGGCATCTTAACTACTTCCTACCCTTCTACTTCTGGCCTTGTTGCTAAGACCACACCCAACTTTAAACTCAGCCTTTATTGTGACTGCATCTTGCACAGTGCAGTATTATCGCATTGACAAAAATCTGTTCATAGACAGATGTACAGTACAGACAGACAGACAGACAGACATACAGTACTGACATACAGTACAGACAATACCAGCCATAGCGATGTTGTTGGCCTGCTAAACATTCCACAACTTAGCACACTGACAGAGGCTTTGATGGATGTTTTCCCGTTTTCAAAGGAAACACTTTTAATCCTCATTTTTCACATTCTGAGCGTGTCCATAACGCTTATCACTCAAGAGCATCTCAACCATTCATACAGCTGATGAACAGCTCAGTCCAGCTGTGCAGGACGCTTGATGTGCATCACTGATAGAGAGCGTGTTTGTGCCTCGAGACAATGCAGAAGGTCAACTACAGGTAAAGGTCAGCAGCATCAGAGCTACTCTACCAAACACACCCAGCTGCTACCTCCACATACAGTTCATTAAGTAAATATATAAATTTCAGCTTGCTTGTATGAAAATAACAACCAAATGCATTTAAACAGATTTACAGCTCAATTCCCCCCCATTATCTTGATACATGATCATGCAAACATCAAAATCTCATCTTCCTGCATCAAGCATGTTTCTTGTACTGGGATAAAACATGTTTCTGTCCTGAGGAGAGAATCCATCTTGTTATTGACCATCATCTCGTGTCATGTGCTTGACCGTGCAGATACTTTCACATTTTACTCGTTCAACTCCAGTCGCAGTTTATCATTTAATTTATGTTTTGTAAGAGGAAATTAATGTCATGCTCCCGGCCGATGTGTTCATCCATAAGATCAACATTTGTGTAAATAATCTTGTAAATAGCCTTTATTGTGTAAGGAGCTTGAGTTTTCTATGTTTTCCTATGTTTATCTTGTTCACTTGTTCTGTCTTTTATGGGATATGTGACATATGGTGTACAGGCTGTTGTCAATTATTGAGAAACACACCCACAGTTGATTAATTCCCCCACACCTGTGCACACCTTTGAAATGGGTGAAGCAGTTTCTATTTAAGCTCAATGTTTGAAATAATGATGTTGAACACGCTTGATGAAGGGAGATATTTGTGATTGCTGCTTGTCTTCTCTCTATTTGTTTCCTTTTGCTGGCCCCTCTTGCACTAGAGATCTCAATCTCCCTGAGAACACCTGACTATATATATATTTAAAGGATTACCAGGAGAATGTGTGAAGTAGTCCAGGAAAGTACCTCGGACAGATTCTTTGAAAACAAGCTATGACATCAGAGAGGTGGCTCACCCCTGATAAACTTCTTGTCTCCTTAGAATAGCTGAAGAAGATTGCCCCTACATTCTCCTCACTACGCGCTAGCATCCTAATCATCCGGCCTGTTGTAAATATACACAGCGTATAAATAGAGGATACTGAGACCTGAGACATTTAGATCCAGTTCCGAGGAGGAACAGGTTTGTGTTCTGCTGTACTGGATGATTTGGTGCAGGGTGTCCATGACTGCGGTCAGGTTTGAGGGGCAGGCGTACAAATTTTAGATCCGCTCCTGCCGTCACTGCCGCACCGCAGGCTCAGTGCAACATTTCATCTGCTTAATGGTGGATTAAAGCATCCTGCGGGAGGATTGATATAGGCCGGAGCTATCACTTGTCTTTAAAGGAGAGCGGAAGCCCATGGAAACAGGCTGGATATAGCAGCTGGATCAGACCCAAACACTGGGCAACACACCACTGTAGATGGAAATTATAAAAATATTATATGGCTCATGAAATTAAAGAGATCCATATATTTAGGCAAGTCCTCAGTGATGAGCTGAAACCCCACACACCAGTTAATTGTGCTTTATTGTGTGTTGAATGGGTAACTGTTTTATCTTAACCACACTGAGTGAAATAAAACAAATAGCATCATAAAAATATAATTCATCTTCCATCCAAGTCTCTGTTTAAGGTTTAATTAGCAGCAATAACGACCTCACTACACTTCTACTACTGGACAACACTGGTTCCAAAATCAGAAAGATAGCTCCTGACTCAGGAATGTGTGCAGCACAGTGTCGAGGATTCCTGTCTTTTAACACTGTCACTTTGAACTAAATGTGTTTGCACCTGGAGCTCATGTTTGCACTTACAGTAAAAGGAGACGGGGGCGATCTAAAGAAACAGTTCGTGAAAGTCAGCAGGGGAGCAGCACAGATACAGTATCCAGGACTCAACAAATGCTATATGACCTGATAATTATTTTTCTCAGGTCAAAGGAGCACATGAAACCTGTGAATTATTTCAGTATATCAGTGGATGCCAGTATGTGCTGTTTGTGTATTTCTATATCCTCCTGAGACCCCAGCTTTTGTTTATTGTGCATTTTTAATTTCTCCTAGTTATTTGGGATGAAAAGGACCTGATAAATATATATATAAAAAAATAAACATTGTCTTTAAACAGGAAGTAGGTTTTTGGGGGGAAAAAAGTCCCCAAATGAGAATATTGGGTTTATTTTTAATGAAACACGTGTGTAATAAAGTATAAAACAGTTCATTTCAAAGCCTGAACACAGCTGTGCAAATGCTTAAGTACAAATAATGCAACGTATCTAAAAGCATTATGATTTATTTTTATAATCGTCCTCAAATGAAACAACAATGAAGTCCCAAAGTCCTCAAACGAGACGATAATAAAGTCCCAATGTCCTCAAATGAGTCCTTCCTAATTAATAGCATCTTAGCATGTTACTGTTGCTAAAGTTGGTCAATTTGTTGCTATATCAAACTGCAAACAATATTAAGTATAATAAACAAGCTTCAACCATAAACTGTGATCAGGTTTTGAACCTTGTCACTTTTGTGTCGAGATCAGCTGCAGACTGACTTGGCAGAGATGGCTGCCATCTTGTTTTTATACGGACAAGTGTGTCACGGTCTTATTTAAGGCAGTATATAGATGCAACACCAAAAAGAAAAAAAAATCATTATCAGATATTAACATTACTACGAAAAATCTTGTAATAATATAAAAAAAACCCTCACATACAGTATAACACAAAAAAAATTTTATTTTATTAAATGATACTGACATTTTTTATTTATTTTTTCCTGGCGTGGCATAAATACGTTGCCGTACTCATCACCACAAGATGCCACAAAAAAAAAGTGTCCACGATTGAGGACAACAGGTCTATGTTAAGCAGGATGAAATATAAGGTGCAGGAAACCCAAAAGGTAATGTCCATATATGAGGACACAGGGTCTCAGGAGGATATATTTTATCATAATGTGGATCTATCACTGATTGATCAAGACCACTAAACAAGGTGTGAATACATTCTTTCTAATTGTAAATAATATCAAAAACATATGGGACAGTTAACATAAATCCTTTAATACATTCACAGGACATTCATATTATTGCAATTATTCAGCATAACGGAAACTTAACTACTGAATGGGAACAGCCTGGAAGAGCAAAATGCAGCATTACAGTAATAAAATCCTAACATTGATACAAGAGCACTTATTTCAGACTAACAATCCCATTTTGTCTTATTTTTCTGTATATTAAATTCTTGTTGTTATTATATATTACATATGTGTACCAAAATACTCTTATGTGACAAAAAACGTGAAAAATGTATGATATTTTACGGATATCTTTGATCAGGGAGTCTGCAGTGAATTTAGAAAGCCAATGCTTGTATTTACACCTACATGGCATTATAATAGTATTTATGTATTTACATTATTTAATAACCATTGATAAGATGAACAGCTTAAAACCTTTTGTACCAGTAACACTTTACCCTTAGTCCCCCTATTTAAGCAGTATAGACATATTTAATGCTTTAAAACAGTATTTGCCAGCAATTATAACTTCTCCTATGAAGACATATTTTACATTAAAACAGCTGTATTTCTATACTGTAAATCCACAGCAGGAGTTATGGTCATTGACAAATACATTAATGAACACATATATCTGTTTACGACCACATTGTATTGTGTTATAAACATATATATTGTTTATGAATGCTTCTTTTGTTCTTAAGATATTTGTGACAGAAGTAAGAACTCAGCCTTAATGGTGTGCAGTTTACCCAGTGAGCTACCGGGCATCCCATATACTGGTCAGGTCTATAGTAAATAGGGAGGACTTGAAATAATGTGTTACCTAGTACAAAAAAATAATAATATTTAGACTACAAATCTAGTAAATTGTGAACGTTTGTAAAAAAAAAAAAAAAAAGAAAAGAAATTCAGCTATTGGTAAAATACTTGAAAAGCTGAGCTCAGCTGACGTTTAACTTCAAAAAAAGCTGCTGTGTTACAAGAAAATTTGTTTCCAACCAGGAGGCAACAGACAACTAGGTCTCACAGTCGTGTCCTTCACCGTGGTCACTTCTTCAATCTGAAAGAGAGAGAGAGAGAGAAAAAAAAAGCACAGAACAATGAAAACAATGTATCCTGTCCCATAGTCACGTGTCCTGCAATCACCTGCTTTTTCCCCTTGTAACTTCTGCTTTGGCCAAGTTTATGTGGCCTTTGCCATGACCTTTGACCTCTACAGAGAAACATCTGTTTGAGGGAAAGGATAGCTGACATAATCCTGCCCCACATCTATTGATGTGATTTACGGTTAACCGTTAAGCAGCTGTGAAAAAACAGGGTAGTCACTGAGCGCTATGTGACAGCAGTAGAGGGAGGGTTAATCTGTGGATTTATCCAAATATTTGTCTAAATAAATACATAATTAGCTAATTCTATTACTTTTTACTCTTTACAGCCTTCAATTAAAAGCCACTGCTGATACTTTCAACAGGTTTAAAGTCCCACTGGGCTGCTGCACTTTGACAATCATTCAAAACCAATTGCATATTTCAAAGTGCTATTTTGTTCTCTCTAATCTGAACTGCATCCAATATAAAGGAGTTTGGTTTAAGACCTGTGACTACTGAGGCTCAGGTTGCAGGTAAGACTCCACGTTGATCTTAGTTTATACAGCTATGCTGAGCTGAGCCACAGGGATAGATTGGGATCTGTGGAGACCAGTTAGCCACTATAGTGAAACCTGGCTGCTGAGAGATTGGGCATTCCAGGGGGGATTTAGCTGTGTGGAAGAAAATGCTCAACTGAATCCCATGCAAGGATGTTCATCCTTTTCAGTCACCCTCAAACAGAAAACCCACAAATGCCTTTCAGGTAAAACAATGACACTTTGTGAGAGCATTTTTTTTTTTTTAGGTTAGGTAAGTGCTTTTGTGCGTCTCTACTTAAGACATTTCAAATAATTCTTTGTGGAGGTAAAAAAATATAGGTTAGAAGTTAAAATCTTAATGTCCCTTACATCTCCACACCTGAACATTATGAGATGTGTCACCGGACTGATCTTGTGTGTACTTTTTGAAGTGATGAATGTGTTTATTGGGGCTTTAAACGTGACAAGGGGCGTGCACAAAAACAGAAGTCAGCACAACTGGAGCGATAAAATGGATCAGAGCAGATGACTGATTACTCCAAGGTTAAGTATCCTGAACAAGAATGAGGGATGTTGTTCACAGCAAAACACGACGCAGATATACGGCTCAGTTGTAAATAATCGGACAAAGAATTTCACGCAAATAAGTAAACATGTCAGACACAAAACTGATTTATTATTAAAGGTATTCAAGTAATGCAGAAATATGTCACATTGACCAGTTCAGCTACAAGTGAAAGTATTGTGTCTGAGACTAAGATGGTACTTACAGTTGTGTCAGATATATACAGATATTGTCTGATGAAGTGTGACTAAAATAGGGTCAGGTTCAGGTTTGAATCAGGGTTAAATAAGGTTTGGCCTGAGGTCAGGGTTAAGGGCCAGTCACACCAGCGTTTATTATTGCAAATATTGGCAACAAAATCGATTCATTCATATGCAATTGTTACCATCAGAAGATTTACCCTTAGGAGGTAAGTAAATCTGCACACTTGCATGCACTGAGTTCAACTTAGGGAAACTTTGACACATTAATTTGTGCCACTGGCTGATAGAAAGCCATCTCAGTGGTGCTGACCTTTGAGGGAATGATGTGCTGGATAGTCCAAAATGGCAAAAGTTGATGTAGCTTATTAACTTTGTTACACCAAGTACTTTTATTTAACCCTCCTCTGTCAGAATACACTGCTCACCAAAAGAGAAATGGTGCGCAGAAAGTTATGACACAGGAGTCGATAGGGTAACTACCTCTTTTAAAGGTGCAGTATGTTATTCTGGAGAATGATAGATGATTGTTGAGTCTCATTCCCAGGTTATTATCACTGCTTTGAGTTGGGAGTTTGTTCCGACTACCAGCTGTTGGTCGTCAGTATTTGACAATCGGAAATGAGACTCAACAATCAGCTATCTTTCTCCAGAGGTACATACTGAGCCTTTTAAAAGAACTGAGCAAACTTATTGTTACTTCAGCGACCACGCTTTGCTAGCTAGCTAGCCCTTCAGTAGCTCTTCACTATGTTAAATTAATTCTGAGAATAAACTGGCCAGGTGAAGTAAACGGCCAAAAACAATGAAACTAGAAATAAGTCTGGTGAGCTATTTTGACAAAATAGTTAGCGGCTAGCTCAGCAGCTATAGTTTACTAGTAGTCTGGGGAGTAGTCACTACATCACCAAGCTTCTAGAGCCACACATTTTGCAAGGATGGACTCATACATTTCTGGGGTGAGATACACAAAAAAAAACAACAGCAAATGAGTTGATGCTGAATCTTTCCTATTAAAGTCAGAGTAGTGGTTCCCAACTGGTGAAACGCAGTCCAAAAGTAGGTCTTGGGTCCATTCTGAATGGACCGCAAGTGACTCATGAACATTTCAAGTTTGTTAAAAACAAACTTTATTGTGAGGTACAGTGAATTTTTGGCACAGAGAGTTTATTTTTTAGTGCTGTTTGCTGCTGTAGAGTGAGTGACTAACGGGCAGCTACTTGACAGACAGCAAATTACCTTGACGATATGGCCAAACACAAATACAATGCTGAATGTATTAAATTGTGTGGACCTGAACTAATGACTAAGGAGAAATCTGGACCCTGAGGCTGGACCAGCTGGGAACCACTGCGTATCAGCATCTCGTACGTTGGTACCTATTACCTTGTACTGATTATTACATACTGCTGCTGGTGTTGAATATACTTCTCAGGCTTGATGCGCAGATCTCATAAAAATTCTTCACCACTTTGACATGAACGTTTCAACATGAAATGAGTGACATCAAGCGAAAGGAAACTAAAGTTTTAACATTTTTAGCAACTTTCATTGAGCATCATCTGAGATTCCACCTGCATTCACTTTAAACTGTGTGTGAATGATGAGAGACAGAGATGTAATAAAGCCACGGTGTTAGTTTGACAGTTTGACACTGCCTGAGGAATGTGGAGTTGATGCCGGAGGCGATACCAGCAGGTGAATGAATGTCCGTCTGTCAGCAGGCCTCCTGATCACAGCCGCCCTGCCAACTGCACAAAGCCAGGCCAGGAATGTCTAAACCAGTCTGGAGAGGACAACAGGAGAGGAAACTGCCCCTACAACTGTAAACCTCCTGGGGTTTGGAGTCGCAGGTCACTGAGAGAGTCAGCTGCATTGGGGTCCAGGGATGTGGGCGTGAAAATGGTTGCATCTTCATGCTGTGCTGATTGTTTTAGAGCAAATTTAAACTTTAGCCATGTGAGCAGCCTGGCTCTGAGGATCGCGATGTTGGTTGGTCAGTCGATGACTTGACAAGTTAATATTTTGACAGTTTGGCTTCTGAATGTACTTAAAGTGCCACTACTATCTGGCTTTTTATAATAGTTGCTCAATGGTGCCCCCAGAAATTTTTCATAAGGGTGGACAGATGGGAGCACTGAAAAACCTTAGAGTGGCACACCAAGAAGTTAATCTCAGGACTCTGATTATGCTGTTGTAGTATGTAGGCTTGTTAAAAGCAATGTCAATATCGAGAGTTAAGGAATCGCATACCGATATATTATGGGTTCTTATTTTACAGTTCATGTTACTAATTATCTGATATGCACAGACCACTACATTTTACAGTGCAGTAAAATGTTTTACAGTTTTACAGTTAACATTTTGAGCTCCACAATAATCCTGTTTTAATGTGTTATGAATTGAAATATGTTAGATTATTCATTGTTCTTCAAATACGCTGGTTGTCCTTTTCCTCAAAAAGACAAATATAGAATCTTGATTTGTTTAATTTGAAATTTTAATTTGAGTACAGTGGATGTAAAGAACAAAACATTTCCTGGGAACAAGCCCTCTCAAGTTTAGGGGAGATTCGTGGGTACACATGAACCCGTTTTCATTCAGATATCTTGAGGTGAGAGTTCAAAGGACTCAGTGCTTTATTTAACACCCTTCCCACCAAGCTATGCAGACATAGCTGGCACAAACGGATGCCTCAGGCCCTGTTTAGATGACAACGGTTTCTCTAAAAACGGAAAAGTCAGTCCGTTGTGTTTTAAAAAACTAATGCATTTATATGACGACGTTATTGAAACAATCTCCGTTCACACGGAGCCGCAAAATCTACTGGAAACGCTTTAGTATGTACGCCAGGCCAATGGGTGGCAGTGTAAATTTGCAAAGCAACACCACAACATGACGCCATGCGCCTGCGCTGAAGCACCTTCCTCTACAACGCGGTGATTACAAACCAAAACAAAGAAGACACAATGGTGAAAGCATGCACGGATAACTTTGTCTGGATGGATGACAAGGTGGAGTTGCTACAGTAACAGATCTACACTTCACTTCAAATCAACAGGGTGAGCAGCACAAACAGAGCTCAGCATTGTTGTCGTGACGGTCAACTTTCTCACACATGTCTAGTGACTGGAACCGTAATGCGCATGTGCGAAAAGTCTCCGTTTTCAGAGGAACTGCATATTGCAAGTTTACATGACAATGGAGATGCTACCGTTTCCAAAAAATTGCACTCTGGAACCCGTTTTCAAAACGTTGCGTTTTCAGGCACCCAAAACGCCGCTGTCGTGTAAACGATCGGCCAAAACGCAACTAAAGTTTACCGTTTTCAGTTGAAATCGTTGTCGTATTAACGGGACCTCAGGTTGTGAGGTTTCACAAGATTCCACTTTCACATTAGCATAAAAATGAGTGTGTCACAGCCTCTTAAAGACAGTTATATCTGCCTCCAATTATTTTCACCAGGAGGAACCAATGGGGGGGGGCAATAATATTATCAGCAGTATCAGTTCATCACCTCCAGATTTTGCCATACGAACACATGTTAGCTAGGGTCAGCAATAAAGTTGAAAACTTTAAGAGGTCATGAGCAGGCTTTTTTGTTTGTAATATGTCTGTTGAACTGTAATGATGTGGTTGCTAAATTACTATTATGGGTATAAGAATGT